AGTAGTATCATGCCCTCATGCCCTTTTATAGTGCTGGCAGACAATGGGTGGAACTTCAGTTTTAGGTGTACCACCATCCAGGAGTTTAGGAACAAAGCAAGAAAGTTAAAACCTTCAGAAAATTCTCATGCAACTTTGTACACAGCTTTGAAAAATAGCTCAGGTTTTATCTCATCTGCTTGTGGTTGTTTTTTGTTTTTTTTTTATTAGAGGTTCAGTGCCACGGTATATGAGGTGTTTTTAAAGTCAATTGAAACCAAATGCTTGCAAGTGCTGAAGCCATGTAAAGGGTTGGAGTACATATGCTTGTTGCTTCATCTACTTCACTGGCTTTTTTTCATTGCTGGATAATTTCCCTTATTAAATAATCCATGGATGTAGTTGATTAGAGGAATTATGTTTTTTAAACAAAATTCAGTACTTCTGGAACTTTTTCATTTTCCTTTAACTTGTCTCTGTCCTAAAATTGCCTACTTAATCAAAGTCTTATAAATACAAACCTTCTCTGCCTTGTGTTGCCGTATCCCTTTCAGAAGAGCCGAAGAGAATTAGTGAGTCATGCCTGGAAGTTCTGTGTTATTCCTTGTGAATTTTGCTGTGTTCTTGAACTGGTCAAATTTGCTGTCCAGATTAGAAAAGGCAGAATAAAGTAAAAGGAAAAAAAATTTAGATATTGTGCTGAATGATTCTATGGGAAGGGAGAAAAGCGTTATTTTCACTTAACTTTGTCAATCATGTAGTTGAAACAGGCAGCAGTCATGGGCTTTTCAAGCTCCTGTGTATGATAATGTCACTCAGAAGTTCACAGCCATTGTGTATCTCTGGGAGTTCCAAAAACTTTGGCTATGAAACTTTTACCTGAAAATAGTACAAGGACAACAGAATTCTGTGAACTAGTTGGTATAGGAAATGTGAGTTTTGTATGAGAACCTGCATAGTTCTGACTGCTGCTGTGACCCAAAGCAAGTGGTGAAACAGTTGCTGCTGGAGACTCAACTTCCTGCTCACATTTATTTAAGTATTTTAGTCTGGACTATTTATGAAATTGGTTTGATAGATTGTCCGCATTTGATGCAACAATTTGTCAGGAATCTTTGCTGTGTTTATTCTTTTCTCATTTATTATCCCCTGGGACACTTTCAAATGACTGAAGAGCAGTCACAGTAAGTGAGAAATCCATTCCTCAAAAGCTGCTTATTTTTCTCCTTCCTCTTTGTCTTTTTCTGTGTGTAATATTTTGCTAAAATTTAATCTGAAAGCTGGAATCGTTTTCTCTCTAAGCAAAAATGGGACTTAAAAAAATATAAATAAATCCATTATATCATTTCCTTGCAAGTCAGAACATGACTTTTATGCAATTAAGTTTCCCATCTACTAATCCAGTAAGCTCTAAACTGAACTAACCATGTATTTCGAGTCAGAAAATATCTTGGGCGACTTTAGGATTTTCCTGTTTGACACCTTAACTTGAATTCATGTTACTAATTGTGTGTCGGTTGCCCACAAAGGTCAAAGTAAGCAAGATAATTACAGTATTGAACTGTGCACTCTACTGAAATATGAGACACAACCTCAGCATCAAAAAACATAAAATTCAGACAGGTAAAGAAGCAGTATGGACAAGCAGTCTTTAGACTGTAACTGAAACCAAACCAGCAGCAAGACCAGAGGAAGATCCCTGTGATTTTGTGTAGACCATGGTCATTCTGCTCTCAGCTGCGTGAGATCCACATTGACTGCTGGAGAGATAAGGAAATATTACTACAAAAAGCAATAGAAAAAAATCGTAAATTCTCCCTTTTAATTGTAGTCTATGGCATTTAAAACTTTTGGAAATTATGTGTATGTATGGAAATACATTATTTACATTTCATCAGAGTGATGGTTATTCCAATATAATAGCAAAAAACTCCTTTATTTCTCAGTATCGTGTATTTTCTTCATTTTGTGGTATATTGTATGGATTTTTGGTGTAACTACACTTTTAGATCTCCTTGAATATAATTTGTGTTGTCTTATAGAAAATTTGTTTCATAATTCATTAATTATTTACTATTACTTGACCTTACGGTACGTTAAAAAAAATTCCATTCCATAACTAATTTCAATTCTACAGTTAAATCAATCACTTTCTACATCTTTTATATTATTTAAAATGTGAATGATGAAATTTTCTTCATTTCTCTGGAGTTACTGAGAACTTTGAAACATGAGCGTGTAGGGAATATGCAGGGTGACCCCTGCAGACCTGGGCAAACTGCTAATTGTACTGCAAATTGCACAGAAATGTTTGTAAAGAAAAGACCTACTCCTTTTGATAAGCAGAACTGCTGGCTGATGACAGTCAAAAAGACAGTCTGGGGCTGTTTAAAAAACAAACAAATATTTTCTAATAATCTACTTTATTGGATTTTTTTCTTGTGTATGTGAGTAATAGATTATAAATTACTACATAGCCTTTAATTGATACTTCCTCTCCACTTCATCTCCATCTCTACTACCTGATGCCAAAATAGGTTATGCCAACAATACTAAAGAGCAGGTTAGACTTGTCCAGGCTTTAAAGCTGGTGAAAAGTCTGACAATTGGATAACTGGATAGTTCACAGCTGATATCTGTGTATCCTGCACTGTGTGGCTAAGGTGATGTCATATTTATATTTACAGTTCAAAACCAATGTAATGTTTTGTTGTAATAGGACTTGATAATAGCTCTATTGTGTGTAATAGGAAGTAGTCCACAGTAACCAGGAAAATGATGAGAGTCATGTTAATGATAATGAGCTACATTTGCGTAGTACTTCAAGAGTAGTTTTTAAAAGTATGTGAGTTGATAAAAGGAATGAAGAAATCAGGAATGCACTTGATATTTGGAGGATTTTTTTTTTTTTTTCCTGAAAAGCCACAGTGGAAGTATTATCATAAATCAGGGTCTTGAAATGATATTTTAAACAATAGAAATGTTTGTTTGAAACAAATGATATCAGTACCTCAGCCTGCACCAGCACAGAAAATCCTTGCAAAAAAAAAAAAAAAAAAAAAAGAGTAAAAATCCTCATTCTTATTGTTAATTCCTTTTTCTTGGTTTTGCCTGCATCTGTGTCTCTCTGTTTTATTTGGACAGATTATCAACATGATATTGTTTGGTTTTTTTCCCCTTAATGTTTTGGTTAAATGTCACAGTACTATGTGTGTTCGACTTAGCATATTGCATACTACGCAGACTCTTGGAAACATAACATTTAATTGTATTAACCAAAAACCATTCCATCCATTCGTGTATATGAAGATGAGATGTAACTGGCAGTATTGAATTTTCCTTAAATGACAATATCTTTTTTAATGTAGACTTTTCCTGATGCACAGACATAGTTAGGACAAATGATGAGTGTATTATATTATCATATCAGGAAGTGCAGTTAACTTCCTTGAAATATACAGTACAGTGTATGGATGGTGTTTGGGAAAATAATAAAATGAAAAGTGTAATGTTATTTTCCTGAGCCACATTTGCTAAATGCAGACTTCTGCAAGGTCAGCAGTTATCCTGGAGTTGAGCAGAAATGTCTTCAGTGGCTTTAACTTTACCAGTGCCCTTGATGAGGTGCAGAGTTGTCAGTACTCTCGTAAAATTCTTCAGTGATGGCTTCTTCTGTTCTGTTTATTTCCTTAAGTGAACATCTGTCTAATTGTTCACCTCCATTGCTTTACTGCTTTCCTCATGCTTTCTCTGTTTCCAGACAATAAACTTTATTTTCTTCATAAGAATTCAGTCTACGCAAGGGTATTAGGCAGCTTGTTTGCACCTTTTAATTTCTGGAAGTTTTCCAGAAGGGCTTTTTGCTGTAGTTCCAATGGGTTCATCAGTGAATCATGTAACATAATGCAGCATTGTGTTTGGGTTTTTATCCGTTACCTTCTGTTTATAAACATCTGCTTGGAAATTTTCGTTTTGATTTTTTTTTTTTAATATGTTTTACATTTTTGCATGTGGCATATGGGTAAGATATACAGTAGCTGCTATTTTTTCAGGTGTTCAGGTAGGTACAGCCAGTATTTACCTTGAAATTTGGGAAAAGCCTAAGCTATTAGCTGAAAAAGCTAGTGAATTAGAATATATTCAAATTATTTAATTATATCTGACAATATCTATGAAATTGGGATTAATTCAGCAACTGAGTGACTAAGGGCAGCTAAATTGTAGAAAGGGTCTAAAAGTCTTTACGTCCAGCAGGAGAGCACTACTCACAGGCTTATCATGCTGCTTATCTTCACTTCTTTGTGTTTCAATTTTGCTTCTTTTCTTACAGGGAATGGCAATAAGAAGTATTTTCTTTATACCTTGCTTCTTCCTCCCTCCCTCTGAGCTATGAAACATTCATATCAATTTTGTTTGCTTATTCTTCAGGTAGATATTTTCGGTTAATATTAGTGTTTTACTTTGCTTTTCTTGCTGCTTTACTTGCTGCAGTGGCAGCAATTCCTTCTTTTGGGTATACAAATCATGTAACAGTGTAATTCTAAGGTACAGTCTTCATCCGTGTAACTATCTGATGCACTGGCAATTTGTATGTAGGAAATTATATACGAAAAGTGTAATGCTAGCTTTAGACTGTCCCACCATATTGCTGAATGTGTCCTTTTGTTATCTATAGATCAAAACTTTATTTAAAAAGACATACTTTGTAGAAGAAAATTTCAGCTGCTCACGTTTGCAGCACTTAAAAATGAGGCTCTATTTTGGATTTCATCCACATTGATGCCAAAGCTCTTTTTGACTTTCTTAGTTAGTAGAACTATGTGACCTGGGCTCATGACCCCTTCTGTCTGTGCTGGATGCATCTGTAAAATACGTGGCCTGGACTCTGAGCTCTGATTTTTAGGTATCCCTGGGGTTTTAATGAAGGCTTTACATTGTTAATCACAAGCAGAATGACACAATCCCTGAGATGGGCCACATTTTCAATGAATTTTAATTCCAGTCCATTTGTTCACGTTTTCTCTGTCGTATAATCTTTATTTCTTTAGAAAGAAGGTATTTAAAAACCCAGCAACTTCCCTTGTGTGTCATCAGAAACCAAGTGGCATAATGCTGCTTTTCCGTATTCCAGTACTGTTCAAATATGCTTGATATTTTCTTGTGCATTCAGAAACACTTCATATATTTCATCAAAGTCTATATTGTGAATATTGAGTTTGTATTGAGAACCTGATCCTGCCAACCCTTATTTGTACAAGAAATCATTACTAATGCGATTCAGTCCTTTTATTTCACTTTCTAAAATTACGTAGATAGCAGTGTGACCTGGGATGGTTTCATTTTGTGTCTGTCTCTTAGCCAGGAGATGTGAACAGTTGTGGAAGCAGAAGGAGGAATTTTTATCTGCATTTATTTCTTTGAGGATAGAGTCCTGTAAGATGTCTATATTATCTTGTTCAGAGCTAGGAGATTATATGCCATGAACTGCAGATTAAAAAGTTTTTTTTTTTTCTTTTCCATTTCCATGTTTGTCTTTCTACTGATGTTGAAGCACCTTGGAATTGGTATTAAAGTAGTAATGACTTTTAAGAATACCTGTATTTGTACTTTTCCAGTATTAAGTGTGTGTGCTTGTGTGTGTTTGAACTGTACCCTGAGTCCATAGGCAGGATTTGAGGTACTTCCTAACAGCTGCAGTGCGTTTGTAAGCCTGCAGACGTCACCATCCTGCCAATTAATTGTGCCGCACTGACTGTTCCTAGAGAGCCCCGTGCCCGTGTTTAAAATAAGTTGCTTCCATCTCGCAATTATCGCACTTTGCTCTTAATCTGAAGCAATTTCTTCAGATTTATTTTAAAGTTGTTGCTTCGTTTTCAGCGTTCCACTAAAAGAAATACTAAACTTTCCTTCTAGCTTATATAAGCCACAGCCTTAGTCTTTAATTGTTAGTTATTGTTGTTGCAGTACAGATTTATGAACTATTTACTTTGTGTCATGTAACATACCATTTTTAAGGAACAATTTTCAATCTGAACATAGCTTCCAGGAGGGCAAGCTGCCCAGAACATCAGTGATCTCACAGTTATTACTTTGTGTCATATATAATCTTGTTTTTTCCTGCAACAAATAAATCTTTGGGCCTCCCTGCAAAAAACATTTGTGGTTACAGTATAATAAAAATAAACCGTTTGTCGTGACTACAGCTGACATTTATCAGCCTATTTGTGGGTGCTCTTTCTCTCTCTGTATAATACGGAACATAATTTGTCACTTTGTAAATACATTCCAGCCTAAATCCCTGCCGGCATCTGTTAGTGTTTGAAGGATTAATGCACTGCGCAGTGCATGTCTGCACTTTCCGGCAAGAACGTAGCTTATGATTATGGATCATGAGAGAACAGGGGAAAAGGGTTCATTTCGTATTTACTTAAACATTGTTGCCCTTTTGACCATCACGCTTTTCTCGACTTGCTTGGCATCTGTAGTAAGGACGCTAACGTCTTCTGTGTGTGCAAAACCTAAATGAGAAATCCTGTTGTAAGTTTTATACAACCCTGTACGTGCAGCTGTACATATAAGATAGCACGTCTTTAATGCTGTGGATGATTAACAGCAACAGCAACCTCAATCTGAGCACTCTTTTAGAGGAAAACAGTCTGTGGCTTCTAAATTATCCCAATGCTGTTTGCCTTGTTGCTCTTTTTGACAGTGTGTTCTGCTATCACTTCAGATCTTTCAGAATGAAAAGAATTGAAAGCATTTGAATAGGAGGTTCTCCACAGTCCAGATCCTGTTTCACGTTCCCAGGCTCCCTCTGTTATTCTGTAAACAAGAATATATGTTTATTAGAACAGTAAACCATACACATGTAATATATTGCCAAGATTACTTGAGATTCCCCAAGATGAATTTAAATGAGCTTTACAGGAATGGGGTTTGGAGATGGAAAGAAATGATCTATATCCAGGGAAAGAAAAAAATCCAGCTAAAAGTAGGCTTCCAAGGAAATACCAACAGTTTGTGTACATTAAGAGCTAGACAAATCCCTACTGCCAAAACCCATGGTAGATTTTTTTTTAATGCATGTACTTTCTTGTTACTGAAGCAGATGCATGCTGCGTGCAATGGAACCACGCGTATCCAAGAAAAATCAGGGACATTTGGAGCCTGCAAATTGAAGCATTCTGAAATTGTAGTCTAGTAATTTCTGTATGGTTTTTTTTCTTCTGTATAGTTAAGGAATAAATAATTTTTGAAATGGCCCTCGGAGTCTGACTTCAGTTACACTTTATAAGCATGATTTAGGGTTGTAGTTTATTTCTATAAAGATATCTGAATTTCTTTTTGAGGTTAACACTTTCTACCTTTATAATTGTCGTTGGTACATATGAAAGGCCAAATTTGCAGAGATGCTGGTGTAAGTGTTAGCTAATGTAAAGATTGTGAAGTAACAAAACATTGCTCATAGTAGAGGTATTTATTACTAAAGACTAATAAATATTAAAACCTGGAAAAAAGTTGTGTGGCTACAAAGAAGTAGATGAGTGTATTTTGCATTTCTCTTTATATAGACATGCAGTTCATAAATTTTGGGGAATTAAAATGGCCTATTGCATAACTAAGAAAGCACTTCCACGTCCAACTCAAATTACAAATTATAGCTAGGGAGTTCTGTAATATAGCTGCATTTAGGACATAAAACTTAAATTATAGATAAATCAAGTGTTTGGATGAAGGAAAAATATCACTACTTTGTTTCTGTGTGGGGACCAAATGCTGTGTTGGTGTATGGCATTCACAAAAATTGAACTCCTTCATATCAGGTCTCCCTTACTACTCTTCCATCTCTCTCGTCTTTGGTGTTTAAATTGTTCATTTGATGCCTTTATTTTCAATCTCTAGGAGGATCCTGACTTCCTTATTGCTTTTATAACCAAATTGAAATTAAATCTCCAATTCAGAAGTTTGTTCTAGGCTATCATGTTAGGGAACTGCCATTTCAGCGGAAAGACGTGCATTTGTAGTCCAGTCCTATCACAGCTTGATGGCTTCATGTCTTTCTGAAGGGGCCTCTTACTGTTAAAACTTGCAGAAGATGCCAACAAGACAAACTTTTCTCTGCCAAAACATCCATAAATGTTCAGGAGAAGGGGTGAGGTAAAGGCAAATAATCATAATAATTCATTCTTCATGTTAAAAGAGGTCCACAGATGATCAGGAAGCGGTCTAGTATGTATCTTCGGGTCACTCTTCTAGCAAAGACATTCATTCGTCCCATTCAGATCCATGAGAAGGAATTGTGTAGCATTCAAAGCACACAGCATTATCAATATCAAGCAGGCATTACATAAATACAGTTTTGCATGAAGTACCAAATGTTGAATACACTAGGGACAATAATATTTACAGTCCTAATCCTGAGTGAAAGCTTTTCTCCCTATAATGTTCCTCGATAAATACTGCATGGCACTGGCTATTGGCTGTCATAAGCTGTGTGTCAAATTGCCAGACGTGTTTCTGAAACATCCTCTACTTTGCCCTTAGCAGGGAAATGGGGGGTTATTTTGGCATTGCTTGTCACATGGTAAGTTTTGATTCTTTGTTTACTTCATGTATTTTAAGATAAATATTTTTCTTGAAGACTTTTTATTTCTCACACTGCATAAAAGAATTATTTGCAGAACAAGGCAATCATCAAGATTATCAAACTCTTTTTTTTTTAAAACCAGTTTCTTGTATTTTCAGTCCCTTGAAGGCAGATATTTTTAGTTGTTCTATGTATTCAGCTTTGAGTTCAGTGCTTTTAAATGCCACGGATATGTACATGATACCTTTTGAGAGTAAAATTATGCAGTAAATTATCCAGTGTCCACTCTGTTACGTTTTAAGTAGGCCCTCGCCAAATGACTTGTATTTACATGAGATACAGGGGCTACAGCATATTTATTAAGACTCTTCAACTCTGTAAGAAACTGGAGCAGTCAGAAGTAATGGTGTCTGCTGAAAGATTCTTTATCATGTGAATTTACTTTTAGTCATCTATTATTTATTTCAGCTATTTTATATGCCATTATAATAAATATTATGACAGAGAAAGCTTTTATGCTTCAACTTATTGTACTGCTCTTCACTTCCTTGCAATCCTTCAGGAAAATGTAGCTATGCTTTACCTATATTTAACGTAAATCATCACTTACATTTGAATGAAAAATTCACTATGAAAAAGAGCTCCTTCTTCAATACCAAGACACAAATGCACAATCATGTTTACTGCCAAGCTACTCTACCATGCAGTGTTCATTTTTAAACAGTTTTTAAGCTGTAAAGTGAGTACATTGCATATAGTGAAATTGCTTGCTTTCTGGATGTTTTCACTTTCTTGTTAGTTTCTGCCTCAATAAGCATTTTTCTAGCGTGAGTGCAAAATATAGCCAATTGCACATAAGTATTTTTAATATTTTTGCTTCAATGGGGAGCAACTTGCATACAAAACTAAATACAGTGTTTTCTGGTGTTATTTCTATCCAGAGCAATGAAACTTATCTGGAAATATTGATAAAATGCTTTCAGATCTTAGCATATAACCATCAAATACGAGATAAAATTCTTACTTTGCATTTTTCAAAACGTTCCAGTGTTGTTGGAGGGGGCCTTGTTAGGAGCTAGAGAATGATATGTCTTTGGCTGCTTCTTCAAAGACACGACGCTGGTGCCTACATCTTGTTAGCCTTGAGCCGCTCTTTGGGCTGCACGGAATGCAAGTCCCCCCCAGAGCCCCTTCTCACTCAAAGAGTGCAACCACGTTTCTGCTGTGTGTGTTCTCCTTTTGGCTGATATGCAGAATTGGTGTGGGTCTGGTGTGAGGGTAGCTTTAGGTGCTGTCAAGGTGTTTCTCTTGGGAATCTGCTGCAAGGGCAGCAGCTCGTTTGGCACAGGCTGTAGATGGGCACTGTGTAGTAAAGGTCTGTGAGCTAGAAGTGAGCTACCTAAATTATTCTACACCCGTTCTGTTGTTTAATCGTCCCTTAGATGGTGTAATAGAAGTGAAAGAAGTAGAAGGAGGATTGATGTATTTTATCAACTTAATTTAAAAAATTCTAGAGGTTGCTGTCTTAGTGTGTTGAATATTACGATGTCAGTTCTAAGCTTGACTGTCTTTTGTATTTGGGAAAGTGACAAGTCCATTTAAGACTTCACAACATAAAACGAGGCATAATTTGGTACTGAAAATATGTGGAGTAAAATGGTGAGAGACATCAGCATAATAAAATTATGACACATTAGATCAGGATTTGCAGCATACCATTAGCAATCAGTTCTGACTGTGGATTACAATTACGGTTTTCATGCCTTTTAGAAATCTCTTTTCTTTTTTATTATCTTTTTTAATAAAAATTGTATGTTTTCTTGTTTTAATAAATGCTGTGATATCTGCTGCCTAGGCATACAGAGAAAGAGGGAAAACATTAAAGATAAAGCTGTAAAAGAAACGAGCAAAAAAAACCAAACACAAAAACCCCAATCAAACAAATAAAAAAAAACCCACAACCAAAATCCTCGTTCCTGTCACTGATTGGAATTATTCTGACATTATTAGTGATTTGGATTTCAAGTACCTTGCTTTATTCATAGCTTTCTTTATTTCTTTTAATATTATTTTTTTCAATTGTAACATGAAAGCGAGTAGAAAAATCAGGAGTGAAAGTGTGTTGAAACTAAAGGCTTAGTGTTTCTGTCCTTTAGGAGGAACTGTGAGAAGTGCTTGAATCTGAGTTTGCAAGGAAGAATCTGAAGCAGGAAAGTTGAGAAACTTACCTAAGCCCACAGGTCTTTCCCCAGTTGTTGTTTTGGGAAAATACTCAAAACAGCCTGGCCTTCTGCATGCTGTCACAAACTTCAGAGGCACTTTCTGCTGAGAGTGCTGTGGACTTCACATGCTCAATTTTCTTCTGTGAGGCAAATAGAGCAGCTGAGTGTCTTCTGTGCTTCATGCACACCTATTCAAAGGAACTACAGTCTGTTAGCATTTTTTTTTATTTTTCTTTTTTTTTGTAAAGCAAAAGCAGGGGGAATGCTGAAAAAAGAAATATTTTGCCATTTTTCTGCTACCTATTCAATGGGAAAAGTTAATGAAGCCATCCTTACCCTAAAAAAATAATAATAAAAAATTATATAGTTTCTTAAATTTCTCAACAAGAAGATAGTAACTAGCAGCTTGTGGTATCTACTGAACTGCTTGATTTAAAAAAAAAATAAATTTATTACCCCTCTTATGCCCCTGTATTTATAGCATTCTTGTCCTTTTCTCTTTGCAAGAGGCAGGAGAATTTTTCAACTGAGGGAAGCAGAAATAAAATAAACCCAACTCTGTACACTACTTATCTATTAAGTAAACAGCTTTAGACTGCAAAGTTGAAGAGATTTTTCTGCAGCTCTGTTGTGTAACACAGGGCAGCACTGACTTTCTTTTTCAAACGGGAGTAAACATTTACCCAGTGGGGCCAAATGAATCCCGGTGCCCTAATGACATGTGTCTTGTGAGGGTGCAAAGAATCTTAGGAAAGTTGCATTTAGCACCTTCGTACTCCCATTGATGGATACTTCCTAATGCTGAACTGTCAAAATTTGGCTATATTTATTTTGCTGTTTTATGAGGTCTGGCAGTAGGACAAAAGGAATTTGAGTGACATTCTGTTTAAAGCCAACCTACAAGGTAATTGCAGCAGGCAGAATGGGTGCTAGCAAAATAAATAAATAAAAACAGCAACAACAACAAAAACAAAAAGCACCAGATGCAATGAAACACAGGGATCAGGTGAATTGCTTGAACTTTGGATACAATGAGATTGCTCTTCCAGGCTTCGTTTTGTGCTGGAAGGCCTATCACTGCTTTTGTATTCCTCCTAAAGTGCTCGTTGTGTTATTCTGTGGCCAGAGTAGATCTCATTGCATCATGCTCTTATCAAATCTACTGCCTCTCCACTCAAATGCTTTGGTTCTATAGGGCCACTGTTCTCATCCTTTTTTCACTCTTCTATATTATTATTTTTCACTCTTATAGCAGTGCTAACATTCTGTCTAAACTATGACTGTATATATAGGAATAGATAGCATTGACATTGCATGAAGTGTCCCTCTAATTTCTTCTCTGCTGGCTGAGATAAGCAAATTGGACTGAAGACTGGAGAGGAACACAGGGCCCTTGCCAGCTTCCTTTAGGTGCCAAAGCGTTCACTGATCCTAAAAATGAGGGCAAGAACAAATGCACACATGCATCATTCGTTAGGGGATCTATGCAAACTGCATGTCATGGTGCTTCATAGAGGATGTCTTATAGTAGAACATTTGTGGAAGAACTAAAGACAATGGCTGGGTGTTGTGCATGAACACAAGGTGCTCACTGCAGCCAAGTGGAAGCTCTTTCAAAATTGTGGCTTCTGAGAGCCACAGTCTTGGGCTGGCTTCCCCCTTCACTGGTTGCAGTGGAAATAGACTTGGTGTTGCTTTTGTTCTGAGATTTCAAAAGGAATGAGGACAGGGATCTTGAAATTGAAAATATTAGTTGTTGTTTGGCTGATGCCTAAGGTTAGCACCTTCAGGTTAACCTGTCATTTTGTAGGATTGTACGTCCTCTTCCTGATGTTGCCTTAAGATCGTAAGCTATTTGTTTAGAAAATATTTTACCCTGCTAAACTCTTACTGAGTGAAAAACTATGTAGGTGGATAGATTGTTTTCTACAATTATGTGTCTCCTGCTATGAGTAACAGATTGTTGTAGGTTAATATACAAGGTTGAATTTAGCTGGTTTTATGGAGCATTTTTTGAAATACGTGTATTTCGATTGACTTAGTTAAAATGCACGCATTAAGAATAATGCTTACTGCACCTTTTATTTCATGAAGTTTCACCAGCTAAAGGGAAAGAAAAAACGTACCAGGTTAACCTTAAAACTACCTTATGTCAATTCATTGCATTACTTAAAGCTGTGCACTATATGGTCTTTAGCAGAACCACAATAAAATTACTATTTTTGGCACTGAATGTTGTGCTCGTCCATTCCTATTGATGATTTGTATTCACTTTGGGGTTGTAATGTTGAACAAGAGACTCAGTCTTGTTTCGTGATACATTTGCTATAATATGATATTGTGAACTAAACTTGCTGTTATTTGTCTTTTATTTATTTTATCTTTTCTTGTTCCAGCATAAAGCCAAGGTAGAAGCGATGACCTTAGACCTTGCTTCTCTTCGCAGTGTGCAGAACTTTGCTGAAGCATTCAAATCCAAGAATATGTAAGTACTCAGAAGATTACATTTAATAATTTCTTGTTATTTATTAGCTGAGCAAAATTGGCAGAACACCACAGCTGGACTGATCAGAAATTACAGTACGTAAATGAGACTCTGTTTTCATCCTAGAAAATAATCACAGATCTCAATATTCAATGTGTGGCCACATCTTAAGCCTAAAGGAGGGCATCGGTAATTCTGTAGCTATTGAGAAAGGCCGAAGATTAACTGTATAAAAAACAGGTCAGGGAAGTTTTATCAACTTTGCTGTGGTTTGAAAGTTTGTGGATGAATAGTTAGCACACTCATCGTCTTGCTTTCTTGTCTAACCTTCTGTATCCTTATTTTTAAAGCATTTTCAAAAAATGGCCCTTTGAGCCAAACAGCTCAGTTTCACAGATCTGAAATAGCCTATGACAAATTTAAAAAATAAAAAAATAAATAAATAAATAAATAAAATAAAGCTGGTGGTAATAACAGAGCCTAACAAAAGGGCAGTTTGTTTATTCAGGATGAATTCCAAACAGTTGGCTTGCTTTAGCTTGAACGTAAATCTTTAAATAAATGATCTCAATTTTTATAAGTGCCACCTCTTTACAACAAATTCAGCACTTTGTGCTTTTATCCAGATTTTCCAAATGATGTGAGCTATTCTAATTTCTCTTTTTCTCTGCAAATATTTTTATAGTGCATGCACATCTTAATGTATACAATGCATACAATTCTTATTTCTTAATTCTCTTTTGAAGAGAATATGGTTTCTTAGAATGTTTTGAAAATATATATTAAAAAAAAATGTATTTGACAAAATGGAATGGTTTTTCACTTTTTAATTACTACTAAAGCTAAATCACAGACCACATTTTTGGACTCACAGGTCCCTTAGATTCAAAGAATCATCAAAACTAAGTTCTAACACAAACTTGTTCACTGCCAAAATACTTTGTAACAGTGTTTTTGTGCTGTATAGCATCTTCATGCCTGCAAATTTTTGTGAAATACAAAGACAAAGCCTTGCAGTATTGAATCTTTAATACTAACTCAGTTTCATAACATGTTTTAATTTAGAACAGAAAGATTAGAAAGAAATTTACTTTAATTTCTTTATGCTTTAAATATGCTACATTTATTTAAAAAGAGGATATGGTACCATGAAAAGTTAAAACCACCCTTCCTTTGAATGCAGTTCTTAACTTGGTTTGTGCATTGCCAATCATATCGTACGGTCATACCATCATTTGGTTTGCATGTTATAAATCCTTAGAAGTGAATGTTCTTAAATGCAATTTTGCTGTAGAAATTAAAAAATGAAAAGATTCGGAATCAGTAAAACCTGTTTGACTTCTGTTAGCGTGCACTGTTTTACCAGTGTTTAGCTATGTTGCCCCCGATCGTGGTTATTAATGTTTTGCTCTCGTTTTATTCTGCAGCATTTTAGTCACAGACAACAGGCTGTGTCTTGCCCTTCGGATATTTCTGTCTAGAATCTGTGCTCAGATGCGTGTGTGTCTGGTGGAGCTGCTCTAAGCATTATTGAAAAGTCAAAGGCCCTGCAACTATTGAGAAGCATGTGGGTTTAGGCAAAAATGAATTTCCAGCTATATTTTGTTTAAACTTTGAGACTGGATGGAAACCAGACTCTTGCCCTGCCTGTCGCAGTGGGTTTTCTGTCTGATACGGATACACAAGAGTTACCTTGCAAGCATCTCTGCAGACAGGAGAGTGGACTGGAAGACCTACTAGGTTTTTCAGGCTCTGTTTTTTTGTGATATGACTGTATCTAGATATGGTCAGAAAAGCAATTATGTGGCAGTAGCATCTTATTACTGCAATGCCAGCCCTATGTGTTTTCCAGCACTAATGCGCACTAACTACTTTTGTCTCTGTTTTGCAGTCATGTCCAGAGGCCTTTGTCAGATCAGTGATTCCTTTGCATTAGTAGCTTTTTGAGCAATTGAAGAAAACCTTACAGGCTTCAGTGTCAAGCTGAATGAATCTTTTACTTTATGCTTTGGCAAGTCCATAAGCTGGTAGCTTAACATTCATAAGGCTTTGGTATCTCTGCTTTCATGAACCTGAGTGAGAGGGTGTACTGTGATACACTCACAGTTTTACATAGCAGCTGTAAATCTTGTTTACAGGCATAGGAGATATTGGATAAGTATAGTGTTTTTCTTACAAAATCCTCCTACAAATTCTTTAGCAATAAAGTAGTAGAAAAAGCAAGTTGTTTTTTTGTTTTCTGAAGGATATAATCATTTGAGTTCTGAGTTTTATAGTTCTCGGTTTCTTGGGCAAAGCTACAGTGGTTTTTAAAGTGTGAAGGACAAATTGTATATGAACACGCAACGGTTTTCTCTGTAAATGTTTACATTTTCATTTCTCTCAGCACACTGTGTAAAGAGGCCTTTATTATTCAGTAGTGAACTTCTTACACTTCTAGGTGCAGGCAGTTTTCTTGTTTGCATAGTTTCTCTAGTCTGGTATTGCTTTCTGGGACACTTTGGTATTCTATAGAAACTGTTGGTCTTGGTGACATCTGACCTAATAGATGAAAGTGTTAAAAACAGAGCATAGATTTGCTTGTCTTTTTAGATTCTGCTCTCCTGGAACATTTTATGGCTCTGGATATTATATCCTGTCATCAGATAGAAGGATGTACTCGTAGCTGCATCACAGCCAGGGAATGGGTTCTTCCTTGGCTGATAGCTGTTGGAAGAGAGTCTTGGAGGACTGTGTTTCACAGATCTTTTCCTGAATAAGAAAGCTAAAGTGGAACTACTTCAGATAAAAGTATCCCTAAACTTCTACTGCTTAACAGATCAAAACTTCTTTTAGATGGATTGAGGATTGCAAGGGTTAGAGGAAAAAATGCTGAACTAGTAAAAACCAGGAGAAAAAGCTGCCTTCTTGAATGTGTTTGAGAATCAAAGAGATCTTGAAAACTACATGAAGAATGGAGAAAAACATCATCCTCTGCTCAGCAAGGGCTGGCTGCATGAAATAACGAATAGTGCAAGAGAGGAAGCATTGA